GGCCACATGTGAAAGAGATTTAAAAAAAAGGATAAAAACATTGAAACCCGCGCCCCTTTTAGGACTTCAGTTAAACGTCATTAACTGGGACTCTAACCCTCTGGAAATTTAGTCAAAAACACCATTTGACAAGGACTCCAGCCTCTAGGTTTTTCGGACTTTAATCAAAACGCCGTTTCACAAGGACTCCAACCTCTTCTTGGTGAGTTCAGCCTTAATACTGAAAGAGCTAAAAGTTTCTAATCTTTAATGCCATGTATGAAGTCATTACAAAAGGTGGGAAGTTGTGTGGAATAAAAAAATCAAACCTAGTGTTGATGTAGATCTCAGCAAGACATGTGTTGCATCACCTCTTCTAATAACAGCACTTTATTTTTGGTGATTTAATGAGACTAAATTCTGTTGCTTTAAAAGGAAAATTGATCTTAATTTTGTCTAATGACGGCATTAAAATCCAAAAGTTGCATCTCAGACTCTAAAGGCCTTTTACAGGATCCTATTTTAAAAATTAAAACTATCTTAAACATGAGGTAATTCAGAAAAAGTCTGAACAAGTTTGGATTGTTTGAAATGAAAGGGCTGCCAGAAGAAACCGACAGCATGTTGCAAAGTCGCATGAATCCCAAGGCTTCCGGAAAAATGCAATTAGAAAAGATTAGACTAACGTAGAAATATTTGGTCCTAATGCACTGCAGCATCTTTTGCAAAAAGCAAACACAACACAAATTTTCTTCTCACAGAACATGAGCGCTCTGCAACCCAGACCAGATCTAAATGAGACTGATATGTGGTGAGACCTTCAGTGAGCTTTGCACATATAAACGGCTGAGAACTTCAGCAATATGAAGCAATATCCAGAAAAAAAAAGAGACTTAAATGACTAATTCAAGCTATTTTGACTAAATCTGATCTTGTTGGGGGTTTTTTCCCATGACTTCAACTATATTAATGTAATACGGTATTAATATTTCAGATCCTAACACGATATCCTGCACTGATTTCTATCCATGTCCATGTCATAAGCTCTTCCTTTGTCTCTCCAGCCCTGAGGATGCAGCAGCCATGATTTCCCAAAGGAATCTAAAACTTAACAGCAAATTAAATGAAACCAAAGAAAGGTTGTGTCGTTTAAGGATCTTAAATTACTTTTTCCCCCTTCATGAGGATTTAAATTGGGCTTGCAACTGCAGATGCAGTAAGTGTTCTTGACCTGCTGCAGAGATTTTCATGTTTTACTCTCCATACTCGCGGTTAAAATCAGTTTTTAATATCCCTCCTTACAACCCCCCACTGGTTTTGCCTTACATCAATACATCCATCAATATTTTCTATCTAACACAAACAGTGCAATGAAATTTTTACTTTTAGATTACAAAACAGCTTGAAGGTTTAGTGTTTCACAGATGAGTTAACTTTTCTCCAGCCTTTCTGTGTTGTACATTTTATACCCAGCAGTGTTGCTGACCTGTAGCCAGCAAACATAATGAAGTGGGACCGCTGTGGTGTTTCCCCCCGAAGCAGTTTAAATTTAAGCAAAAGCAGTTAACATCAATAGTCTTCCTGCTGTGCAGAAATTAACTCCCAAGTGACGCTGAAATTAAAAATAACTTTCTAGAGACAGAAAGCTCGGAAATCTGAGCTGAAGCAACAGAAACACCAAAACAGGCACCATTAAGATGAAAACTAAAGAGGAAAACCACAGAGGTGAAGCTGTGTCACAGCTAAACTTGAGAATGTAGGTTATTTTTTTTTTCCATCACTTTTCACTTTGAAAACAGTGTTGAAGTAAAGCTTTCTCTCACATCACTTCAGTGTTTCTGCCAGTAGATGTGAGACGTACTCACCTTTCCAATGAGGGGGCCCAAGACAATGTCATCATGTTCCAGCACCCATTTATCCTGCAGGGGTTGGAAACCAAAGGAGAGGCTGCGTTACTCTGTGACAGCAGCAGGTTACAAAGCGGAACGGTGATTATTTGGGAAGAAATTTAATAGAAGAGGCAGTTAAGATTTTTATATGTCAAGCTTTGGACCTTAAAGGTGACCTACTATGCTTCCTTGAACAGGTTAGGATAGGTCTTTTGCACAAAATCATTCTTAGATAATGACATTTCATTCTGCTCAGTTCTGCCTATTTTCAGCTCTTTCAGAATGAGCTGTTTTAGGCCCTCCTGTCACTTTAAATCCAAATAAGCTGCTGCTGGCCACGCCCCCTAACTCAACGTTTACACTCACATATTAACATTTTCTGCAAATAAATGAATTATACAAAGGTACATCTTTAAAAAGCAGAAGTAGAGCCTCCTACACAACCAACAATTATGCAGTTGCAATTGTAAAGCCAGCTGACCAAATTTGCTGGAGCTCCACTTGGGTTGCTAGGTAACGGTGGAGCGGCTGCCACTTTGGGAGGTTTTTGACACGGCTCGTTTTAAAGACACCAAAAAACATAAACATATTGCCCAAAAAGTCAGCTGGGTGTTTTTTAAGCACTTGGGCTGTTTTCAGAAGCATACATATCCAAATGGAAATATGAAAACCTGCAAACCTAATCTTGGATAGACAGATTTCTTATCATCTGCCAAAAACAGTCTGAACATATTTTGCCCTTGGATAATAAAACTACTGGATTCTTCGATTTAATTGAAGTAACAATGCTCTGAAGCTTGAGCGATGAGAACGCAACATAGTTCATATTGCAGCTAGGACAGATAACCAGAGCAGATCGCCACAAACCAAACCACATAGATAACATCAGGTGATAATTATGAGCATAAAGTGTAGTACATAAGCAAAGTTATGAAATCTTTGGTTTTCATAACTTTCATAAAGTAAAAGTCATGGTTTTACTTTCAGTATTGGTTTCTTCAGGATGGCCTCTGACTTTTTGGTGACGGGTATACGAGACGTCTGCAGGTGATTGATAAGCTTCGGGATGCTGTGGAAACCTTCTCCATCCAGACGGTACAAATTCTACTGACACACACGGAAACAAGTTCAGAAGGAACCTTACTGACATAAAGAGAAACACTCTATGAAAACGCTGTTTTTGATTGTTATGTTAGCTGAACTGATGTGTTCTTGCATCCAGTTGCTGTTGAATTAGCAGGATAAATACCCAACCTGGGGAGAACTACATAGTTGCTAAAATGCTTGCATAGTTTTTATTTACATTAAAAAATGAAAAAACAACATCTTTTCCAAGACCTTTGAAGATATAAAAATCTGTATTCTTAAAAAAAAAAAATAGAATGCAATATTAATTGAGGATGGAGTGATGCAAGAAAGTGAAATGTGAGCTGCAGTCTTAGAAAGGTTTACTTACATCCGTGTACTGAATGAGGAAGTGCTTGCACGATCCTTCCCACTGCACAGAGATGACGTACACCTGCTTTTCCTGACTCTTCCTCACCAGAAAGTCTCCGTCGTTCTGGAGCAGCTGCTGCACCTCCAGCCGGGGAATGGCTCCGTGGTACCAGTCCTGCTGAGACAGAGGCCGGTCCACTTCCTGCACTTGGTGAACCTGGAAGCAGGAGGAGGAAGAGGAGGAGGAGGACAGGGAGATGGGATCTTTACTGGTGCTGGCAGGAGTCTTAGGGAAATAAAAAGTGACAGAGGATGTGCAGAGATCTGGGAGAGATTATTTGAAGACACTTCAGTCGAGACTCTATAAAACTTAAAAGTCTGAGCACTCCACCCTCCGTGCATGCCTGTCGGGCTCCAGAGTGATGTGAAATAGAGAAGAAGGAGCGGCTCACTCAGAAATTACATTTTATACTTCAGGTGAAGCATTTTAAATATCACAGCATTTCCCCCATTTGAACTCTCCGCCCCGTCGGTGTGTTTCTCAGCATTTTAAACGTAAACTTGCTGATTGTGAGGTAGAGCTGAATTTGGGTCGAGCAGAACTTTGAAAGCAGTTGACCTTAAAATGTCCGTGCAGCGTGGCGTCAGAGCACGTTAAACCCACAGGATGTCCTCCGAAACCCTGACACGGCGTCTGAAGAGTGATTTATTGTTTGTTGCACTGCGAGGTTTGGGGAGTCAAAAACAGACCCTGCAGTCAACCTGGACTCAGGCAGGACCAGAAAGGAAGGGACATTACCTTCAGCAGGAACAAATAAATGTCCTTCACTCATAATATAGATATATAAAGCTGTAACCAGGACTATGAGGTTAAAGAGTAATCAGCTCCACATTAACGAGAAACAATAATAATAATAATAGTAATAATAATAATAATAATAATAATAATAATAATAATAATAATAATAATAATAATAATAATAATAATAATAATATAGGATACTTGGCTTTTAATCATAAAAAATCCAACCATTATTTTTTAAGCTTTATTTTACTCTTTGCATGTTTCTACCATCTTGTGTAAAAAACCTACAATTATGATTCATTTAAAATTTACTAAAACCATCATTTCCTGCAGATGAGACCAAAAAGTTAATGTCACACTTCCTGAATTCCTATGCAATCAATCAGTTCTAACCTAACAGGTGAGCTGCAAACTTTATGACCTAAATTTCTCATTCATGTTTTCAGCTGGGCATTGTGGTTTATTTGCTGTAGTTTTTGTTGCTGTAGTCGCCATTGAGCTCATTTTTCTTTGAATGAACATATTAATGTTCTGACACATTATCTAATAAATAACCTAGTAAATAAATGAACTTCTCAGAATATATTATTTAGATGACAAACAGTTTGGTCAGGTAGTTTACCCTAATCACAAACTACTGATCATATTTCTGTAAATAAGGAAAACTTCAGCAGGAGCTCATAATCAATAAAACATTAATAAGTAATTAGTCTCACATTTATCCCTGGCTCATCTCTTAATCAGTTACTGACTGATATTGGTCTTTTTAATTTAATGAGATCATCATAAGCCAATGATCAGTTCATAATTCCTGATTAGTTTCTGTGCAATAAAGATTGTTTATCTGACCCTTATTTGTAAGATGTTACCAAAATGTGGTCATTTTTATTGCCTTTCAGAAGTAAGGAAAGTTTTGTTCCTTACTTCATAAACACTCGGCTTGTTAGACTGATCTGAATTGGAATGAGAATAATTTTAATTTCCTTGGGGAAATATTTGTCCACACCAACAAAGATATTGTTCGCTGCATAAGCAGCTTAATGAAATATTAATGCCATCCTACCTCAGATTTGTGTCTAAACAGGTTGCTCAGGTTGTTTATGATCCCGTCCACGAGGATTTTACCCGAAGTTTGAACATTGTCCTAAAAATAACAGAGCAAAACATCGTGGTCAATATAAATGTAAACTTTAAAATGGAAAGGAAAACATTTTTATGCAACAAACATAATCAAAAGAAAACATTTGCTTTAATTGTTATCTATGTCTCATGTTGCTTTCAGTTTGTCTCATAATGTAACCGAATGAGTAACCATTTCAAAACATATTTTGTTCCGTTATGCTGCAAGCACTAAAGTTTGAACAATGTCCAAACTTTAATGTACTCTAAGTAAAATTTGAAAATATAAAAAAAAAATTACAAAGATTTCTCTCATTTGCAACAGTGGAGACAAATATTTCTGTGTTGTCCGACCACCAACATTGACAAGTTATGCAACTTTAAAAAAAAAAATAACAGAACTATGTGAATTCAAGACATAGTCAAAGGAAAATAGCTTAAGGTTTACTTTAACTAGACTGATGTTTGGGATCTGTAACCTGGTAAATCTATATAGAAATGGAAAGAGGTGAAAACATCCAGCATATCTGCCTCCCAGCAAAGGTTACAATTTGTTTTTGTTTTGAATTTTTTCCTGAAATTTTATTTCTAAAACTTTCAGACTCTGGTTTTGTAGTGGTCCTCATTTCTATTCCATGTTAGTTTTTTATTTAATTATTTATACAAAACTTACAGCTTCAACTTGATTTGAAACTTTCTCTGTGCCACATCAAGACTCGCTCATTTTAAAACCAAATGTCGGTAGTTCTTCCCCACCCAGTCACTTTCAGTGAGGTGTTACACAAGACGCTCGTTTCTGCCTGCTTCAAAGAACTGACAACAACTGAGGAAAAGGGAAACCAGAAAAGGTCTGCAGCAGGGGGAACATACATTGCTTGTGCTGGATAAAAGCGAAACAGAGTCCATGTCCAGCCTGAGGGCCTGTGGAGGTTCTCTGAAGCCCAGCTGGTCCAGTTTCTCCTTTAGAAGAAGTCTCTGAACCTCCAGTTTCGCTTTTATACCCTGAGACAGAGCAACCTGCTGTCTGCACTCCTCCATTGCATGTCTCTTGCTGAACTGATAAACCCTGAGGAGAGAAAACATAAATAAAATTACTTTTTTATTATTATTATTTAGTGCATGCATCCTGAAGTTTTCTACCTGCACCTCAGTCAGCTGTGATGGTCCATGAAACTAATTAGAAACATGCACAACAGCCACAAGTTTCAGGCCACAAAAACATCCTGAGTTGCACGTAGGTGTTGCTTTTGATTGCTGAGGTTGTTTGTGTGTGAAGTTCTTGAGGGGCTTCCGGAAAACAAGTTTCTGGATTTTAATGAAATTTCTCAATTTGACATGAAAATTTGGGAAAATAGGTTGAGCAGAACAACTTCAGATCGAACATTTTAGAAAAATCTATAATTTAATTTGACTAAAAAACAAAATTAAGCACTTTATGTATTTATTTATTTTTATTGTTGGCCGACAGCTCAACTTGAAATGTCTTCTATCTGCATCCGTCCTAGGGATGCTGATGCAAGAATGATTATTTTCGCAACTGTTTATCTGATTTCAGCAGCTGCAGTGAAGTGGTTTGTGTTGGTCTGTGTGGTGAGCGGCGCTGCAAAGCTACCGGTTAACAGTTTAGCCAGAGATTTCTTCTTGTTTTTTGTGATAATCATGGGCCTACAGACATGTCATTTCAAAAATACATCTGCCTACTTCCTGATCAGCTTGTGGCTCAACCTTAGTTAAAGGCTTCCATTGGTGTGCTTTAAATAGGACCTATTATGCAGAATTTACATTTTGTACATTTTTAATACTTCCTGTTTGGGTCTCAAATGCTTCTAAAAACAAACCAAGCACTTAAAAACACAAAGCCATTTCCTGGTTTTATGGTATCTGGAAAATTAGCTCTTTCAAAAACCTCCAGATTGTTAAATCACAATCACTGTTACCTAGCAACCCCCGCTGAATCCAGCCCCATCACCTACCAACCCCAGCAAAACCACAGGACGTTTGGTCAGCTGGTTTTACCACTCTATGGGCTGTACAATGGCTGCTGGATGCGACAAATGTTTTCTTGTTGGCTTACCACACAGAAATCACTTGCTACATTATTGTTGGTTGTACAGGAGGCCCCACTTCTGCTTTTCAAACATTTGTGGTTGTATAATTACGCATCTGTTTGCAACCGTTTTCACATGAGTGTAAATGCTGAGTTGGGGTCAGCAGAGGCTTATTGGGATTTAAAGAGACAAGAGGTCATAAAACAGCTCATTCTGACATAATGGGTCTCTTTTTAAGATGGATATGGCTGTTTTCCGTTGGTTTCTAACAGACAAGAATCAGGACAAATGTGGATGGAGAATGTAAATTTAAAATTAGGAATGCTTTAATCTCCAAGCTAACATCCAGAGAGGATGAAAATCGACAGACCACCAGAGAGGAAACTTTCTGAAAAGGGTTAGCAGAAGTGCAGAGAGCAGATCAGATAAGATTTTAGGTTTCAGATATGAATAATGTAGGTATGCCCTTTTCATGAGCCGCAGGAACTTAATGGTTGACATTCTGCTCTTCCTCTTTCTGACTGATGATCATCCAAATACACACAACCACCAGCATGCATGCATGTTACTTCACTTCAGCTGCTAGTAAATTATTTGCCATGTGCTGAAAACAGAGAAGCATCTGTAAAACCAGCTCTTCCCTGAACTGTATTTCCCAGTCTTGAGGTGACATTGTTTGTGAATTGTTTCAAGAGAAACGAGCTGAACTGAATTACTGTGGAGTCTGAAGAAGGGGAACATTAAGCCTGACAGCCCCGAAAAGGTCACAGCAGGTCAGCTTGAAACAGCTTTTCCTGCTGGTTTACAAAATGTTTCTGTGAAAGTGTCACCAGAGGGCAGCGCGACCTCCACTTACCTAAAAAACACCTCAAAAACACCATATGTGCTTCCCGGCTTTCTGTAATGATTGTCAGGGTTTTGCAGATAAACACTCTGGTTCCTTTTGTCCTTCAGGAGCTAATTAATAACTGGATCAAACCTGTGACACCTCTGGACAGGCTTGTCAACCAAGAAAAACGAGGGGACCGGGATTCATAACTCCTTGCATATTACTGCCTTATTATTATTAATAAGGTGCTTGCAGCCTCTTGAGACCAGGCAGGCTATTAGCAGTCACTCAGGACTGCACACAGAGGCAAAGCGGGAGCAAAATTTCAGCAATTTGCCACCAGAGCTCCCAAAGATCGTTTCCTCCATTGTGTGAACGCAGCAACCCTACTCTCTCTTCACCTCTGGCCTTTTTTGTTTCCGTCCACCTCGTTCTCCAGCTCCAGCTCCAGCTGCTCCACAGACGTCTGCTGAGAGCCCAGAGACCGAGCCAGGGCCAGCAACTCCTCTTCGATCGCAGTCAGCCTAAGAGCAGAAGCACCATGAGGAAAGAGGGGAAGTATAGGGAGAGTTTAAAGGAAATACAGACAGAAAAGAAGAAGAGGAAGTCATTGAGATATTAACAGAGGAAACTGGGCCTTTGCTATCTCGTTGTTCTCACTTGTGCTGGATCGTCTCCAAGGTGAGGTCATTCAGCTCGATCTCTTTGGGCTTCAGCTGCTCCGTGTCCTCCAGGAGGCTGCAGTCAAAGTCTACACAAACAGGGATCTCCCCGACGGACCTGAGATCAGAAACACGGACTCAACAGCTGCATCTCCATCAGAGCACCGTGACCTTTACTCTGCAAAAGTTTTGCTTCTTCGTACCGGTTCTGCTGGGTGAAGCTCTCGTACTCTCTGTGCGGATCGATGGCGATGAGGGCGGATGACATCTCCCTGTGGACCTTCACCACTTCCTGCTGGAGGAGGGTGGAGATGTCAAAGTATTCCTGCAGGATCTCCTTCCTGGATGTGAAGAAGTTGGAGAGTTACTCACATTTTCCAGCCTCCAATGAATTACAGTTCCTCTAGACCAGTCAAACTCATTTTCATTTTGGGTCTAATCCAGATCATCAATGTCCTCAAAGGGCGATTGTGCCAGAATGTACTGATAAAACCCATTAATAAACTGTTATCCTATTATGCATCCTTGGACGGGTTAGAATAGGCCTATGGTTTAAAGGTTTTCATCACATTTTTTGTGAAAAATCAATCTTAGGAAATGAGATTTCAGTTCTGCTCCTTTCAGAAAGAGATGTTTTATTGCCTCTTGTCTCTGCTGGCCACGCCCAACTCAACATTTACACTTTATTCACACTGCAAGCAGTTGCACAGTTATACAGCTGTATATCTTTGACAAGCATTAGTGGAGCCTTCTGCACAGCCAAGAAGAATGCAGCAAGTGGTTTCTGAATGGTAAGTCAACAACAAAACACATGTCTTGATTTGATTTGATTTGATTTGATAGATAAAGTAATATTTAAGCACACAGCTCTCTTTTGAGGGTCCTATAAAAAGCTATGGAGGGCCACATTAGGCCCTCATGCCTTGAGTTTGACCACTGTGCTCTAAACAATTCGGTAATATTTAATTAGTGCAAGTATATAACCTTGAAAAAGTACTATTTACCACATTTATCATCGTAATTCAACCATATGTAGCTCTTTAGATTGACAAACATAAATGAAAAAATGCTTGTAAAGTGGGGAAAAACAATTATACACATTAATCAAGAATTTATCTTCAAATAAAAAGATACATTTTTATTATGTCAAGTGAGGTTTGCATTTCTATTCAGAGTCAATAACTTGTATATCCACTTTTTGCTGCCTCATCTCATGTCTCCAACTTTCCACATTAAGAGTTTTTTTTTAGATACATTTTCAAATCTTAGACAGATTCTCATAAGTGTGGCTCTCCTGCTGAACCTCGCAGAACAGCTGAGCTGATACAAGATTTAATTGCACACATATGGCCAGCATTTACTAATTGGGTGACTTCTGAAGGGAAGTGGTTTCACTGGTTTCTATGCAGGGACCTGACGGTAACAGAGGCCCAATACAAACGCAGGCAAAGAAACATAAAAACGCCACAGGAGAATGAAAACCTGCAAATGTAGCTGCTTTCAGAAATGTTCATTTGTGAGACAGGTTTGATTGCTTGCATGATAATATTTAGATCTCATTAATTTCTTATATAAAAATCTGGTAATATGACGTATAGCAGAAGAAGAATTAAATAAACTGTGTCACAAATTCAACCACCTCCATAGGTCAAACTCCGAGCGTCCTTCCATGTTTTAACTGAACTAAGGGTGCCTCTCAGGTTCAAAGCATCCTCTGACGTAAATGGCATCCATTCAGGAATCCATGCCTTATTGAGTTTTATGAAAAGGGTTAAACGCTTTTGAAAGGGGCCACAGTTTTTCCCATTTTCACCAAAGCCTCTCAGAAGTGATCGTGCGGGTGTCTGCATCCTGAAACCTCTCATCTGTCAAAGCAAACTGGAAACTCCTGAGCAGCTGACCGTGTCAGAGCTGCAACTTTCTTCTTTTTACAGCTTCAGGTCTGATTTGACTTCGTCCTTTTTCATTAATAATGATGAAAGAAAAAAAGGGGGTTCTTTCAGCACTTCATTTTTCAGTCTAAAATAATTAATAACATCAGTAATTTGGGGAAAATTAGGCGCTTTTTAGCAGACATCTTTTTGATGTTTTGACTCTTCATCATGTTTGATATGTGCAATATCGCTTTTGGCACCAGTCATGCATAAAATAATAAGTTTGGGCATATATTGGTCAATCCTCTTTATTATGGCAACTTTTAAGACTCCTCTGAGCTTCACCCTTTTAATAATTGTGTGTAAGTTGTGTTTTCCTTTCGTTTTATTGTTTTACATAATTTTATGTCCAGTGTCTTATGTATTAAGGTTAGCATCAACCTGCTGAGTGCCGAGGGACAAACAGATAGAAACCTTGGATTATAATCCAGCATGTTTACAAATATTGTGATTTTGTTCATTAATATGCTCCATTCCTGCTTAAATGCATAAATAAATCTGAAATGTGAGCCTGGGACCCATAAGTGTAGAACACATGTGTCGAACTCAAGGCCCGTGGGCCCAATCTGGCCCGCTGTAGCTTTTTATGTGGCCTTCTAGACTCCAACTTACATCAGTAAGCTCCTCCACTTTATGGTAAATCCACAAAATCAAAGATAATCAAGAAATTCTGAATGGACTGAAAAGTTCTTCAATCATTATCTCAGCTTGAAGTAAAGCTTTTTTCTGCTTTGTTTTGTTTTTTCAGTTTTTTCCTTTGTAACTCTTCCATCTAACTAACACACATCAATCTCTCTGGCTCTTTCTTGTTGATGTTTCTTTAAATCTTACATGTTTTTCCTCTTCACTTATTTGAAGATTTGATTTGAAGTCTTGTATTCACCTTGAATTGTTGTTTTTGCTGTTCTCAAACAGAGGCTTTTTCTACCAAACCAGCTGCAGAAGAACAAAGTAAAGCTTCAACTGCATAAATAATTCATAGTAATTTCTTTTTGTTGGAACTAAGTGAGAAAAATTGATAAACCAGACAAAATGTTGATGCTTCACTCGGAGATGAGGAGCAGCCACTGCTGCGGCAGTCAGTAATCAGTTTGGATAAAATGAAGAGTACAGGTTTGGTTCGGTACCAGCATGGTTGAGTTATGGTTCCAAAACTGCTGAAATTTTCCATCATGCTATTCCTGTGGTAAAATGCAAGAGAAACCGCTGGAAGAACCTCAGTTTCTCCAGCCTGCCCTTCCTAATTGAACATATATCACTAATAATAATACAACTGAAAATGTGCAAATATGGATGTACAAAATTATTTCCTGTTGAGAAAAACATAGACAGTAATAATGCGGAGACTACAAGAAGTGCCAGCAAGTAAACATTAAGAACCCAGCCAGCGATACAGAGCATTAACCCGCTAACATTAGCTTGACACATTTGGGTTTGTCTATAAAAACAAGAATAGCAAAAATGTGTAATGTTTAAAAAACAATTACTAAGTTTAGCGTTAAGCGAATATTTTTACTTGAATCCATGTATCACGATTAAAAAACCCCCATCAATAACAAGATAATTATACAGCTAATACTTTATCATTTAAACAACAGTGGAAATTATGTTCCTTTTAATTTCAAATAAAAGCAATTAGATTCTGTTAAACGTACTGAAGTTAAATCTACAGGTGTATGTGGAGCCGCATGTATGTTTTCTTTCAGGAACTTTGAGATTTTAATCTTTGTCCTCATCTGACCTCACATGCAGAAACACACCTTCATGTCTGCTGGCTGATCAAAAAATAATCCAACTCCAGCCTGGTTACATTAGCAACCCATTAAATGTGGAGTCCACTTAAAAATGACTTTAGATTTTAATCAACTGCACATCAAGTTCCAGCTCATGTGTCTGACCTTTGACCCTGGCGCTGACCCAAGGTTTCCCTCTGTCCAAACCAGCTGTTTGAGGTGGAAAGGTTCTCTGATGATTTACTCAGGATCCAAAGATTATGAAACCAGTCAGACTGGATCAGAGTCAACTTCACTTTAAACCATATTTTAATCAGCTTTGACTTGATTCGTATAACATTGTCTCAGCTTTTGCACTGCTTTAATGTTACATCATGTTTTCGCTCTTGACACTTTTGATTTTGCAACAAGTGTTTCACTTGTCCTTTCATTGCACACAAACTGTAGAACAGCCTTTCTGTGAGAACTAATTTCTGCTTCTGTAAACTGAGGCGGATCAGAGAGTGGAGGATTTCACAAACCGTGGTTGTTTACGCGCTTGGACGCTTGGACATCGCGCAATAACACGCAGTCTTGTTAATCTGAGCTAAGCTGCGTAGCTGTGTACCACTGAGATATTTAAGTTTTCAGTATAAAGTCTCAGGAAAGACCAGAAAATGTAGGAAGAGCCAAAAAGAAACAATAAAGTGATTTCTCATGAGAAAAAAAATTGCTCTTCTTCTTCTTCTTCTTCTTCTTCTTCTTCTTCTTCTTCTTCTTCTTCTTCTTCTTCTTCTTCTTCTTCTTCTTCTCATGATTTGACTCCTGTTTCCTGATCTGCAGTGTTTTTGGCGCCACTCCCTGACTGAGGTTGATATCTTTCTGCTGCAGCTCACGTCCAGCACCGTCGTAAAAGTTGCAATTGTAGAGATTCCTGGCAGATGACAAACGTCTTGTGGGTTTTGAGTAGAGCGGACTGGGAAGCTGAATAAGCTGCATCAGGTAACATACTGACTACAACTTTACAGAACCCAATTTTATAAACTCTGAATATCCTTTAAATCCATGCATGAATAAATATGTTTAAGAGTTTATTGTTGGCAATTAAAGAATTTGAAAATATTAGGTAAATGTTCCGACAGTGCTAAGAATAAATAATAAAACTGAGTTCAGCTTCTATTTCTCTGAGAGTGAATACAAATTAAATCATCAGAGATTATGCTTTATTTTATTTCATTTATTTTTATTTTATGTTATTTTTTTTATTGTTTATTTGATAGGGAATGCCTGCATCCCAGTCTATATGATGCAAATATTACCTTAACTAATTTGCAACATTTGTCCTTAGAAGTTGTTTAAAATGAAAAGTTAAGTTCAACAGTAAATCAAATAAAATAATGAAAAGTGGATATAAAATTACGTATTTGAAACTACCGAATCAAAACAATGACAAATTGTTTTTATTCAGTAGTTTTAAATACATTGTTTTATATCTATTTTTCATCAACTGTTGATCTTATACATAAATATTTCCACTGCATTTAAATGAAAGTTTGTTGAGATTTTAAATATATATCTCTAATTTTCTTTAAGCCTCTCTCTCACACACACACACACACACACACACACACACACACACACACACACACACACACACACACACACCCATGCAGACCGTGTTGAATGCAGTCTTAC